GAGAGAGAGAGAGAGAGAGAGAGGGAGAATGAGAGAGAGAGAGGGGAAGAGGGAGAGAGAGAGATATCAATTAAACTCACTTTGAAAAGTTACATTATACTACACATATGTGAACTTAAGAAAGTTGGTGGTAACATTCTATAACATAGTAAAATCAAGCACACCTCAATAAAAAAAAACACCAAAACTACATACATACATACATAGTTGGTAAGACCAAATAGGCACATAGGCATTGAGTTAATAATAAACACAAGAAAAATAGCCTCATGTATGAATATGAAATTTCAGGGCAGTAAAAATTAAAAATGAGAGTCCTCTTAACAAACCCAGAAGCATTTCTGTTCAAAACGACATTCTTCAGAAAAGATGTAAGGGAAATGATATGTGAAAATGAAATGTTTGATGAACGGTAAGAAAAATGAAAGCCATGCTAGAAAAAAAAAGACAGCAACAGACAAACAGGTCGCCGTGGACTACGGCTCTAGTCGTATTCATCATCTGAAGGGTCATCAGCCAAGAGGGGAGGGGTGTAGCGACCTCGCTTCAGGGGTGGGCTGCTTGCCGGGTCGGGGTCAGAGGTCGAAGGTGAGGGAGGCGAGTCGTAGAGGGGAGACGCCGATGGGGATATGGCTCTGCCAATCCGAGCTGTGTTCTCCTGGAACCACTGCGTCTGCAGACGTAGGATAGTTTTGTTTACCCGTGAATCTGTTTTATTGTTTCAGTAAGAGTTTTACGGCACTTGCAACATGATAAAGTCATATAAGTGCCAAAGATTAGAGGTGTCACAAGAGAGTCACAAACATAATAAAGAAGGAGGAGAGTCCCATAAGTTTAACACCCTACAAGGCATATATAGCTCATTTTAAAGAAAGGGAGACTTCACCCAAAAGAGAAAGGGGATAGAATATAATACAGATGATACGTCAAAGAAAATAACGTATGTGTCACAACCTGGAGGAATAAGGCGCTCCTCAGTTTTTGGGCATATGGTATCATCTTAAAGCTTATTGATTTATCTTGCTTTCGGTGAAAAAAATACCAATGTATTCTGAGCAGAACTGAAGATATTTGCGATTGAAAGAGGTAAGGTCGCTTGGTTTCAGTGTTCGAAATTGCAAGAAAATGGCTGCGAAGTTTGGTAACTCCAATAGCTAAAAAGTCCTCGAAAACTGAAAATTTACATATTTGGCGCTTTTAATCAAGGTTTTTCAATACAATTCATACGAAAAAGTGTTTTTATTTGGACATAAAAAGGTTGAACACACACACACACCCACACACGTCATGAACCCATTACCTCCCCCATCCAATCCCTTCCTCCCCGATGACAACAACCACACACACACAAACACATGTCCTGACCCCTTTACCTCCCTTCCCCAATTCCTTCTTCCCCGATGACAACAACCACATACACACACACACAAGTCCTGACTTCTTTACCTCCCTCACCCAACCGTCCCTCCGTACGACTACAACACACACACACATAAACCACAACCCCTTCTTCACCTCCACGACACCCCCATACATACCAGTCTTCCCTCGCGGCCGAACATCTCGACAAAGTTGCCAATGAACTCCTTGGATTTCTCCTCCCAGCGGTGCAGCATCTCGTTGCCTTTGCCAACCTGCTCCTTCCACTTGCCCATCAGGTCTTTGCCCTTGTCCTTCAACTTGTTCTCCAGCTTCTCATAGTTGTCCTTGAACTTGAGCCGCTTGGCCTGTTACCATGGCAACAAAATCTCAATCAGGGCCCACAGTAAAAAAAACATTATAAAAATAGTATTGGAGCTTAACTATCTTTTTTTCCATGACTGAAATTCTTAGGTGAACAAGAAATATAGTTTTAAAAAAAACCAACAACCCAACATTTGCAAAAATGCACCATGTAGTAGAAGAGACCAAACATACAAAAGGACCAAAGGGAACATCAATCTCTTTAGTTTAGTTTTAGTAAGAGTTTTACAGCACTCACAACACAATACGGTCATATAAGTGCTGAAGAATTGAGGTGTTACAAGAGAGTAACAAACACAAAAAAGGAGGAGGCGAGATAAGGACAATAGATGTTTGATAGGAAAGAAGGAGCAAACCATACCAGAGCACCTGCCAACTACCTTTAAAATCTTTAAAAGAAGATTAGACCATATGGAAAAAAAAAGGATCTTTATTTGGAAACTAAGAAAGCATGGTCAAGAAAAGAACCATATGAAAACTTTATTCGAAAGAAAAGACCAGTGCAACTACTACAGAGAACGGAAACCTACATTTTGAACTTTTCAGAACTTTGTTTCATATCTAAGCCATATTTTTCTACCATATCGCTTTCAGGTCTATAATGTTAGACCAGTTTTCAAATTGAAAAGCATTGCCAAACAATCTCAGTTTTACTACGGAAATGACAACTTTTATCAACCCCAATATGAAATTTCGAGGACATGAAAAATGGCAAAGCTGAAACTTCTGCTCAAAATTGATATGGTGTAGTACATACTCAATGCTCCTTTCATTACTATATTTTGTTAAATACTCTAAGAACTGTTGAGTCAATTCCATCTCAGACAGCTTAAAAAAAACTCAACAAAGAACACAAATCTAAGATGATGGGGATTCAAACCAGGGCCATCCACACAGCTGTCCAACACGGTAACAGCAACTGAACCAATGATGGCATCCTCCCAAACTGGCAACTGGAAACCAGAAACCCACCTTCATGTAGCTGACGTTCAGCTCTTTGTGAGAGTAGCCACGCTCCAGGTTTCGCCGAACGTACAAGTCGTAGTCCTTGATGATGCGTGTGATGACGTCTGTAGTGGAGATGCCTTCCGTCCTCTGAGTGGCCAGAAACCTGGGTCAGAGGTCAAAGGAACATTTGCTCTTTTATTTTTTTTTTGAGTAGAAAGAAGCACATCAATACAATGATGGTCACTCAGAGCTGGCGGGAAAAAGATGAACACACGGAAACAACAGAAAGAGAGTAAAAAGGTAGGAATTACAAGTGGATCCCTCCAAACATTTGCTAAAACAGTAATAGAGTCTGCATGATCATATCCTTAGAGGTAAATTCATGAGGTATACTACAGAAATGTTTCAATACAGGCTGTCCTAAAAGTCGCACATGATCCCAAAATCTTTTTTATGAAAGTTGCACACCCTCCTAAAAATCTCCTTCATAAAAGCTGCACATCCTAAAAATCTTCTTCATAAAAGTTGCACACCCTCCTAAAAATCTTCTTCATAAAAGTTGCACATCCTCCTAAAAATCTTCTTCATAAAAGTTGCACACCCTCCTAAAAATCTTCTTCATAAAAGTTGCACACCCTCCTAAAAATCTTCTTCATAAAAGTTGCACACCCTCCTAAAAATCTTCTTCATAAAAGTTGCACACCCTCCTAAAAATCTTCTTCATAAAAGTTGCACACCCTCCTAAAAATCTCCTTCATAAAAGCTGCACATCCTAAAAATCTTCTTCATAAAAGTTGCACACCCTCCTAAAAATCTTCTTCATAAAAGTTGCACATCCTCCTAAAAATCTTCTTCATAAAAGTTGCACACCCTCCTAAAAATCTTCTTCATAAAAGTTGCACACCCTCCTAAAAATCTTCTTCATAAAAGTTGCACACCCTCCTAAAAATCTTCTTCATAAAAGTTGCACATCCTCCTAAAAATCTTCTTCATAAAAGTTGCACACCCTCCTAAAAATCTTCTTCATAAAAGTTGCACATCCTCCTAAAAATCTTCTTCATAAAAGTTGCACATCCTCCTAAAAATCTTCTTCATAAAAGTTGCACACCATCCTAAAAATCTTATAATAAAATTTGTACACCCTTCTAAAAATCTTCTTCATACAAAATACAAAAGCAGAAAGGCACAAATCCAATGGCGGTAGGTGTCATGTAATAATGTAAGTATCAAACAGGAAATACGCCAAATATGCACATCACTACTGATTACTGGAGCTGACCCGGAAGCTGTACCTGGTTTAGGAGGGAGACTTCACTTCCCCCTAAGCCGCCATGCCATCAACAACCATGCCATTCTGACTACACCTTCATCAAGATACTTAACAGGTTAGTGCCTATAGATTCTAGATCTAGACACGTTACAGTGGGAATAAAAGTATAATTTCAGGTAAGAGTTTATCGGCCCTTGTAACACAAATAAATCATACAAGTGCACTAGAGAGCATAACACAAAGAAAAGGGAGGAGAGATAAGAATGATAGATGACTGATAGGAAAGAAGGAGCAAACCACACCACAGCACTCGCCAACCATCCACTCAAAAACAAAAACAAACAAACAAACAAACAACAACAACAACAAACACAAGAACAACACAGAGGTATGGGCTTTTCTGAAATAGACAGTACGTACGCTTAAAATAGCACTCTGAAACTTACATTCCTTTCTCTTTGACAAACTTGTACACGTCATCAGCTGAGCCAGTGGTGTAAGGCAGTTCATCGTGGGCAACAAAGTCAATCTGTACCAAACACAGGTACAGGTAAAAAAAAAAAAAAAAAAGGGGGGGGGGGGGAAGAGGGGGAGGGAGGGGAAGGGCAAGGGATACAGGGTTAATCAAATTTCAAGCAATATCAAAAGCACACATAAGCAATCAATAATCATATGGTATAACCTTGTTGGTAAAGGTCCAGTTGGTCTCCCTTCTTAAAATTAGTTAAATTTGTCTTTTGAACACATGTCTAAGATGATGGGGATTCAAACCAGGGCCATCCACACAGCTGTCCAACACGACATCAAGGCTGTCCCCAAATTAGCCCAACTGGCACGGAGATCCCTGGTGTGCATAGTAGGTGAAGTAAAATCTGAAGAAAGACCTTGACATGACCTTTGCCCTCAATCTGAGTTGGAATGGTAGCAGAAAAATTACGTAGAAACTCAGAAAAAGGAGCATGAAGACCAGAGTATGCCAAGCCATGTACTGTGACACCGACCACGAGAATATCGTGAAGAAAGTAAGAAATCAGGAACGGAGGATGAGAGTGTGACACTCTCTCACAAAGGCTTCCATCAGTGGAAATGCAGCAGGAAAAATACCTAAAAAGAACAGTTCAGTAAGAATTTTACGGCACCTGCGACACAATTAGGTCATATATGTGCCGGAGCTTAGAGGTGTCACAAGAGAATAACAAACACAAAAAAAGGAAGAGAGATAAGGATGATAGATATTAGATAGGAAAGAAAGAGCAAACCACACCGGAGCACCCGCCAAACACCCCCACAGAACAAATCAGCTGACATGCTGTGTGAAGAGAAAGAGATGGGCAAGGAACTGAAGATGGAGAAAATGGAGAAAGAAAAGGAGGAGGAGGGGGAGGAGGAAATTTAAAAAGTCGACGACAATGACGATAGAGTCTCATCATCAGATGAAAAAAAAGGAGGAGGATTGAAAAGAGAAAGACGAGGAAGAAGATGAGAATGGAAAATACAAACTGAGCAAAGAAGAAGACAGAAAAAGACGATGAAGTGTTGGTGAGGGTGAGGATCAGACAGATGATGAAGGAAAAGAGAGAGAGAGAGAGAAGAGGGAAAATTCCGGTACCTTGTGATCCTCCAGGAAAGCTGGGTCGAGGGTCCAGGGAGCCTCAGTGACCACCTCATCCACGTACCGGCAGTGTCTGACGGCCTCATAACGCTCCGTCTCGTTCATCACCGTGCGTCCTTTCATTTTATAGGTGAGTTCATCACTGCACACTGTGAAATGCGTGAAACACAATCACACAAACAGTAAGATCTGCTCTTTTAAAAAGTTTTAGTAGAGTTTTTATTAATTTTTTTTTTTTTTAGTAAGTGTTTTACGGCACTTGCAACACAGTAAGGTCACATAAGTGCCGAAGATTAGAGGTGTTACAAGAGAGTAACAAACACAAAAAAGAAGGAGGGGAGATAAAAACGATAGACATTTGATAGGAAAAAAGAAGCAAACCACACCAGAGCACCCGCCAACCACCCACTTGGAATCCGCTCTAACTGCCACCAGTATAAGACGATCACCCTGTACAAAGAGCCACTTTCCATCCACCCACCCCCACCATTATGTGTTTTTTTTCTTTCATCCCCCACTATGGTTTTTTTTTTTCTTGGTTTTTTTTTTTTTACATTATGACACTTAGTTGTAAGATGTCCCCACTTTCTGGTGTCTTGTGTTCTTAACAAACATCACTACAACTGATGATAGCATAATATGACAAAAGAACGATCTTTTCAAAATGTGGAACTATTCTGGTAGACATATGAAAATAAGAAAGAAATTATGTCGGGTTTTTTTCTTCTTCATTTTTCACTCACTTCTCTGAGAAACAACGTTCAGGCACACTAACGGTCAGAGGTGGGTGCTGACGATATATACGATATATACTTACCGCCAACGATAAGGTAGGCCTGGGGGAATGCCATCTTGGCCTGCATGAGCTGCCGAGCGTGGCCCGTGTGGAACATGTCATAGATGCCGTCGGCGTAGATGCGCACTGGCCGAACCACTGAAACAGCATTTGTTTTTGTATGAGTTTTTGCGGCGCTCACAACTGCATATGGTCATATGAGCGCTTGAAACATCATTTGGTAAAATATACACAAGGTCAAATATACAGAAATAAACAAACACTTTGAGTTTGAGAAAAGAGAAGCCCATTGACTTTTAGTTTAGTTTTAGTAGAAGTTTTACGGCGCTTGCAACTGCATAAGGTCATATGAGCACCAGAAGATTAGAGGTGTTACAAGAGAGTAACAAACATAAAAAAGAAGAAACGGAGATAAGGACGACAGATGTTTGATAGGAAAGAAGAAGCAAACCACACCAGAGCACCCACCAACCACCCACTAACAACCCCTTTGAGTTTGAGAAAAGAGAATCATATTGACAGAATAATGATCATTTAGTGCTGATAAAATGCAAGACAGACAGAAACATAGAATCAAATACAAGGGAAAACAAAGAAGCAGGATCTACCACTGGTTCCCTCCAACCACCCACAACAAGGACTGTTGGTTTACCACTGGTACCCTCCAACCACCCACAACAAGGACTGTTGGTTTACCACTGGTTCCCCCCAACCACCCATCCACAACAAGGACTGTTGGTTTACCACTGGCACCCTCCAACCACCCATAACAAGGACTGTTGGTTAAGTTATGTTATATCGAGAGTTCACTGGATATTTTTGAAATAAGAAAAAATATATCAGTTGCTTCAGTTGCTTGGAGGTAGGGTAAAGTAGGACTGAAAGACAGAAACAACAGTGATAGATTACAAAAATAGGACCTGCCCACCAGCACCCTCCAACCACATGTTTTCCCTCTCTACATAAAAACATGAGAGAGAGAGAGAGAGAGAGAGAGAGAGAGAGAGAGAGAGAGAGAGAGAG